ATCATGTCAGACTTGCTCATTTTTTATTCCTAGAGCATTTTTAGTACCTGCTATAGAGTAGGTGCTCAATAAACCATTGCTGAATAAATTATTGAATTAAAAATACAAAAGTTAGTCATTACATATGAATTTAAATTCTCTTTGAGTAGAATTGGCTTCAAAGCTTTCTCTGGGTTCTTTTTTAGATTGTTTAAGAATGGCAGCAGGCAAATTTAGTATAGTGTCAGCCCTAGGTCCTTTTTCCTTTCTACCCTATGTCCTTTTGAGCTTCCTTTCCCCTTCATCTGTCAGTGTAGGTGTTTAGAGAATGCAGCTTGGGATCCAGACTGCCTGAGTCCAAATCCTGGCTCTACTACTGCAGCCTTGGGAAAGATCATTTGATCTCCTGTGTCCTAGTTATGGCATATATAAAAATGGAGATAATAGTGCCTATCTCCTTGGGTTGCTGTAAGAATTACATAAGCTGATACACGTCATGCTTAGAAGACGAACAGTGAACTCTCAACAATGTCAGTAATTATCAATCATTCCTAACTACACTTTACCCATGAGGCTTCATATCCTCTTTATATTTTGGATCTTCGACCTCTATACCGGGCTGCATTCCTTCCCACCAGCATTTATACTTGCACAAATCTCTCAATTTAGAGTAAAGAAATTCTTCCTTGACTCCACATCCGTATTTAGGTACAGGGAAGTCTTTTTTCACCACTTTATAGTCTAACTTTTCAAACAAGTCATTTATGCCATTGTCTCCACTTAGATTGCACTCCTCAATGTATTTTAATCTAATACCCTCCCATCCCTGCCTACACTTTGCCTTTCTAAATATCCTGAAATACAATGGTCACTGATTCTGTTCTAAGCTGAATTTGATGATATTGAACACGTGCTCCTCCTCCTCCTCTCTTCTTGTTGTGGTCAGAAGTTTGTGTCCCTCAGACTCCATATTTCATGAATGGGGTTGGTGCTCTTACAAAAGAGGCTTAAGAGAGCTTGTTTGTCTCTTCCACCACATGAGGACACAGGAGAAGGTGCCATCTATAAATCAGGAAATGGGCCCTTAGCAGACACCGAATCTGCTAGTGCCTTGATATTGAACTTTCAAGCTTGCAAAACTGTGAACAATAAGTTTCTGGTATTTTTTAAGCTACCCAGTTTATGGTATTTTGTTACAGTAGCCCAGATGAACTAAGACACTTCTGTTGTCAGTGAGATCACATTCTCTGTGGCTCTTGCCAATCTAACTGTATTTATTCCTGTTTCTCTTGCAGGCTGCTTCTTCTTCTCACTGACTTGCAAAAGTCCTCAAGGCTCTGAGTCTACACTCACTGACATTGATTCCAGGAGACTCAAAATGTCACTGTGGCCCTCTAGTCAAAGTAAGGGCTCATGAAGGTCAGGTGATCAATGGAGTTTTAGCCAAGGTCAATCTCACAGTGGGTCCCAGACTCATTCTGTAGTTATTTCCTCAGTTCCAGAATACATAATGGGCATAGACATACTTGTCAGCTGGCAGAATCCCCACATTGGTTCCCTGACCTGTGGAGTGAGTGCTGTTGTGGTGGGAAAGGCTGATTGGAAGTCATTAGAACTGCATTTACTTAGGAGAGTAGTGAATCGAAAGCAATACCACATCCCTGGAGGGATTGCAAGATTTAGTGCCATTATCAAGAACTTGAAAGATGCGAGGTTGGTGATTCCCACCAAATCCCCATTCAACTCTTCTATTTGGCCTGTGTAAAAGACAGATGGAGCTTGGTGAATGACAGTGAATTATCATAAACTCAGCCAAGTGGTGACTCCAATTGCAGCTGCTATACCAGATGTGGTTTCATTGCTTAAGCAAATTAAAACA